GGATTTCGAAGTCTCAACTCTTGCAAATCAGTTTGAAACTGGTGTTGAGAACCTGGAAATTTCAGTATTGGGGGTTATTTCATACGCTCAATATGAAAATAGGATGGAATGCAAAATGGCCCAAAACCTGGGTGTACCCATAGCAATTGTGCAGATTATAACTGCCAGAGCTGGGACTGTTGATTGGCCCTGGAATTCACAGACTACAGTCATGACACAAGCGAGCTCAGCTTTGGTAGCAGTGGCGGGGTAATTTGTAGTGCCGAATTCTGGTTTCAGAAGAACTTGTAACAGTATTTTTGTCTGTGCGATGGCCGTCCAGTGCGATGGCCGTCCAGTCTCGTCACACCCATTCAAAATACAAAAGAAGACGAGGGTTACATCTTATTTAAAGCCGGAGTGTCTGACCGTGTTTAGTCATCGGTTGGGGAAATCCATGTTGAGTTACTTTCACGTGTGTGTGTGTACTCTCACTTAAACGCAGCGCCAGGATATTTCCTTCTGTTGTCTACATGTACTTGCCTCCTCTCGTACATAAGTATTGACTTATGGATGTACATGTAAGCGCAGAACGGGTACGACTTTCCACAATTCCCACTGCGACTCAAAGGAGAGCGTTTTTGTCTGTTTTTACAAGGGGATTATGGGATAATAACTGAGACGACTCACACACTGTCTCTGGACACTTTTTTTCAAATTGACGGAAAAAGCCAGGGATCAAGACAACAGACGTCCCGTTCCCCCTTGATGTGTTTGCCCGAATCGGTCGATTCCCACTGTTCCAAACAATCTTTTTCCGTTTGGCTCATATCTGAAGGGATGCCGGGCTTTAGCAAGTACACGAGCCTGGCCCACAGTCATGTGTGACTCAGGATCCTGCAGATTAATCTTTATGTTCACCCGGCAGGATATAAAAAATACGACCGAAACCAAAGTGGGCCGTGAATTAAGTAGTGAAGGATTTCGTGTGCTGCCGAACAGCATCTTCCTCCCCCGGAGCCAGACCTTCACGTCTTCAGGACTGGCTTTGAAGCAAGCAGGCGTTTCAAGTACATGTATATCTGCAGTTGTCCCATGTGACATGTGACAATTCCGTTTTGCGAGTTCATGGATTTCTGGAAAACAACCAGGCCAACATACAAATGACCTGACAGAATATTTTCAACTTTGTTTTGATCACTTAGCAGACCGTGCATTTTTTGTCTTTGTCCCCGCCCCCCTCCTCCGTTTCTAGGGTGCTTGTTGATAATATCCTGTGTTAATAATAATAATAATAAAGCATTTATAAGGCGCACTATATCTGCAAAGCATTCAGAGGCGCCGGTCTAGGTGGAAAAATGAAAAAATCAATTGTGCATTCATAGTGAAAAAGCTTGTGAGAAGATCATTTCAAAACAGGTTTCTGTAGATAGGTAGCACGGTAGGGGACTATTGAGACTATTTTTATTGGCAAGATTTGCTCTGTAATAGAACATTGCCTCTGCATCACACTGCATCTGAATTAACCCAGCTTCCGTTCCAAAAGTTGACAAATCCAGATGTTGATTCCAAAACTTACCTACATGTACTGTACACGTCATAATCTGCTGTGCGCACACGGCTGTGAAATTCACAAGAGTGGTTCCGTATCATAAAATCAAGGGGGAAAAAAGTCAGTTATTTCATAATTTTGGCTTCTGGTCGCACTCAGCTCAATCTAAATCGGCACTTGTGGTCACTCTGGTCCAGGGCTTTTTGTTGTCCAGAACTTCAGGTGTTACCTCCGGACAGACCATGCTGAGACTATCCATTTGTTCCTGGGATCAGCCCCCTTTTCCTTCCTGGATTTCATAAGCCCTTCCTTCCCTCTCTCTCTCTCTCTCTCTCTCTCTCTCTCTCTCTCTCTCTCTCTCTCTCTCTCCCTTCCCCTCCCCATCCTGGGGGGAAGAGGGTGAAGGGAGTGCGGCGAGGGACTGGTTTCCATCCGTCAGCACATGGTGCCTCTCCTGGAGGGTCTGATTAGAGCTGGGAGGCCACGGTCACGGTAGAGGAACCGGAAAGAATGAAACCCGAACGTGGGTTACAGTCGGGGAGGGTAGCTCGAGGGGATTGAACACTGCCCGCCCATTAGACAAAGAAAAGAACCGCGGGACAACGGAGCCAGCAGTTTTGGGGATTACTCAGCGTGATGCAATTGGGCCTGTTTGGAGGTTGGGGGGGGGATATGCGTCCAGTTCCTGCAGCATGTGAGTAATGCTGGTCAGATGACGGAGAGCGAAAAATGCTGACATCTGCATTTGTATGATTCAAGTGTGAGTGTCAGTCACAGCTAAGAATTAGAAAGAGCTTGGTGGAAATAAGTCATGCGGAGCTCATCGTAAGTTAAATTGCCTGTTTCTTTTTTTCACTGTTTGAGGCAATACATGGGGAAGGTCTGCATATTAGTCATACAGACTTTGTTGTCATCAAGCCAATTGCCTGTTTTCTTTGCGGACCGTCGTGCGGGAGAGTTGTGGACAATCTATGTGTTTGTGTTTGTGCCCCAGCCTAACCAGACAGGTTGGAAGGTGCCAGAGCCACTGTGGAGCCAAAGGCCCTGAATTAGAAGAACGTTGCACAGTTGGAATTGGCAGGACACCCCCCCCATCATTTTGTTCACCTGCAAATGTCCGTATTCATCAGGATGCCGAACTTACGAGATTGATACCTCAAAAAGAAAGAGCTCTGTTTATTTGTTCCGAAGCAGCCTGCAACAAAATTGTCGACAAAATGGCCTCAAGACCTATTTCGCGTGAATCGGGTCACATTTGCCTGACAAGAGCCAGCTGCGCCTATTTGGTGCTCCCGGCGTCCTTGATCTTGTCTCTCCATCTTTTCTGTCGCCCCCTTTTCTAGGAAGAAAAGTGTGCTTGGAGGCCCTGTTTGTCCTTGTAAATGCTTCGTCTATTCTCTTGTCATGAATTTTGACAAGGCGACTGTTCAGACTTTATTTCCTTGCCATTATAAATGAAATTAGATCAAGTCTTAAATAATCGTAGTTCTGATCAGAAAGTTGTCTGCGTCCCAAAAGTTTGAGCAAAGTGAACCCATTTGAAAATCAAATAATCTTTGTTTTTCTTCCAAGTATGTTTTTCCCACAGCTTATTCAACTGCTACATGTACAAACACCTGAATGGTGGTCATGCCATGGTGGTTTTCTCTTTGGCTTTCCCGCAGTTTCTCACACACATATGTTGATATGTACAAATGTGCAGATCTTGTAACTTTGGCAGAAATTGAATACGTGCAGTGGGTAGGCTGGCATAACAGTCAGCCAGCACCCAATTAATTTTGGTTAGTCTTTAATGTCACTCAGAGTATCACAATAGTGAGGAATTCTCAAAGGGGAAATGAATCATTACTTGGACTGGGCTTGGATAGGGCTGGGATCATTTTGAATGGCCAGTTGTCAAATGCCCAGGGCTACTTGTTTTGGGGTGTTTTTTTTGGTGTTGAGGGGCATTATTAGGAAAGTAGAGACAGATGAATTTACCGGATAAAGGAACAATTTGTGGTTTGAGGTTGGCAGAATACACCATTTGTGTTGAATAGGATGGTAATTCTAGCTCTCTGTGAAAGGGGAATTGGTTGAGGCTCCTTGAGAAGCTGATAGGGGATTAGGACTCGGCAATTGTACTCAGATCGGCCGAGTGGCACCTTCCTTGTCCCACAGTATCGGGGAACTCGAAAAGTTGCTGTTAGTGTCCAGGCTGCATTGTTTAAAGCGCTGCTGACTTTCAGTGGCACGGATCAGGATTTTGCTTTTTTTTTCTTCTTTCAGCCGTGCAGCAAATGCTGCGCCTCACGGGAATGGAGGGACGGTGTCAGCTGGGGTGAAAATGGTGGGTTGTCTGCTTATCTGGGGAGGTGACAGTAATCCGTGTGTTGTTTGAGGGAAGTATAAACAGGCTTTTATCCCTCCCATCTTGTCCTCTGGACAGTCAGAGAAAAGCCCTGGTCTCTCTCTGTTTTTTTAATGGCTCTTGGATCCTGAGCGATGGGAAGGTAGAATGATCGATTCGAGGATGATAAGCTTACGGGGGAAGTCTGACATTTTTCTTGTCATGGAAGGTCTCGCGTCCGACTGGACGTGATCGCCAAAGCAACGGCCTCTGCTGACCTGCTGCCAGAAACCTCCCCCAATTAAAGTTTGTCTGGTGACCTTGCACATGAATTGACTTAACTGGCATGTCCTGCGTGGTAATGGCGTAGGAAATATTTTTTTCCCCTCTCTGGACAGCCGTTTGATATCGGAGTGGATGCCCGATGTCAGAGGGGATCAGAGAAGTTGATCCGTGACTCGAAGTAAGCGCCGGCTTTGGACGTAAATAACCATACTTTCTAAGGCCTGATGAAGAATGCCATCTGTCACTAGCTAATGGTTAGCACAGAAGGTCCTTATCGTCTCATTTTCTGGGCAGCCAGTTGTTGTTCCTTTTTTTTTAAATAGAGACCAGGTGAACATGAATTCAAGCCCCTTTGCCTTCCCCTTGCTTAGTTCCCTAGAATGAGAAAATAGCCTTGTTATGAAGGGAAGCTTGTTAGAAACCCACGGGTGGTGAAAACTTTGGTGGAGAACAAACGGGATATCTCAAACTTGAGACAATGTTAACCACAGAAAGGAGAGGGGGGTACTGCCTAGATTAAGTGGAAATTTCCACTAGGATTGGTGCAGACTAAATGGAAGGTTTGAACTCGAAAATGGACTGGAGCGGAGTTCGAACCGTTGAAGCAAGGAATACAGTCCAGGCGTTCGACCAACTGATCTGACTGCTTCTCTCCCATAACCTTCCAACTTGAATCATCCTTGCATGCAGGACAGTAATGATTATGGATTTATCTGATTATCGATTATTGATTTGATAATCCTCAATGAAGATATACTCCCCCATCTCCTGTCCCTCCCTCATCTTCTCTTGGCTCCCTCCTCCCACCTGCTCCTTTTTCCCCTGCCCTTCCCCCCCTCCCCCCTCATCCGGCAGGCACCTGGCGAGGAACCCGCTGATCTGTGACTGCAACCTCAAGTGGCTGGTGGAGTACCTGCAGGGCAACCCGGTGGAGAAGAGTGGCGCTCGCTGCGAGACGCCGCGCCGGATGGAGGGCAAGAGGCTCAACCGCATGAAGAGCATCAAGTTCAAGTGCAAAGGTGAGGCGGAGTATATATTGGTCCCCCCCCCCCGGCGGCTGTTTCTCCACTGGCTGTCCAGCACACTAAGACCCCAAATTCTTATAAAAACCTGGTCTTGCTTGCTCTCCCCCACAGATGTAGTTTACCTCCAAGGACAAAGCGTATTGTCTCCCTTTGGTTCCGCGACATTGTTTACATAACAGTTGAAAATCAGCTTTGGAATGGCAGAGCCCTTTTGACGCTTTCTCTCTCTTCTGGGAATTGATTTTTCATTTCGCAAAATGTGAAAATCATTTCCCAGGGCGGGGAAACTTTTTCACTCCTTTTCACACGAGCGGGAAAATGTTTGCCCCCCCTTGTGAAAGGCAAAGGTGAATGCGAACACGAGTTCTTTTCACCAAATTTTCCACTCCCAATCACAGTGTTAACTTCCCATTGCAATGTACTGTAACATTCGCACACAGACTAAGCCCACATGCTGTATTTACCGGATTAGTTGCTGGCAAAAAATCAACCGTTTAGGGTATGATAACTGCTTTATTTCCTTTCTGTGTCTACGGTTTGCCCTAGCAACCCAAACCTTGACGCGCACATGACATCACCTCGGCAAAGCCTCATTGCCGTCTTAAAATAAGCTGCTTCTCATTTTACGATCAGAGCCCCTCAACAACAACACTTGACTTTAATGAGCGTTCACTTTCCGGTTCTTCTAAAATTCTCAACCTATCAATGAACTTGTACCGTACAGATGCGGAGTACCAGCGCACCATGCACGCCGGCGAGTGCTTCATCGATTCGGACTGCCCCGAGTCGTGTAGTTGCAGTGGAACTATCGTGGATTGCTCCAACCGAGGTTTCCATTCCGTACCAGACAGCATACCCACGTACACAACTGAGCTGTGAGTGTATTAAAATGTCGCAACTCCTCCCGAAAAAATGGAAAAACTGGCAAAGGATCCCAGATGTGTCGTAAATACAAGTGACCCTGTGTATACACGAACATTTTCTTGCGATCAAAATGAAAGCGTTAGTTAGTTTAAGATTCTTTGGGAGGCAGTAAGTATGCATTGCCTTTTAATCCTCCCTCTCCAGCATTCGAATGAATAGATTGTGTGAAGGGATATCTCAGTCCAAATCGTACGAGGGCTCAATATTTGACCCAGTTGGCCGTGTGATGTTTGTTTACCGTGGGTCAGTCCGGTACTCCGACAGCGCATGCCAAAAATGAAGTGTGTCTGAGATCAGTCAGACGCATATGCTAGGTCCGCCCAATCAGTGCAGCCTCCATGCAGACTCGAGCACATGCTTTGTTCCCGAATGACATTGTTTTTTTTTTTCTTTCTTTCTTTTTTTTTAAATAATGAGCCGGCTCATTGTCACCATTTTTTGACACTTCCCCCCCCCCTTTTTTTTCCTTGGCAGACTGCTGAACGATAACGACATCTCGCGGATTTCTGCCGGTGGGAAGTTTCTTAATTTGATCAACCTCAACAAACTGTAAGTTGGATCACAAACACCAGTCAGATGATTGGGCAGTAATCAAGCTTTTGATACTCTGGCCAATTTTTTGCTACCCTACCCATCGAGCTGTAATAAATCACGCACAGCCTCTGGAAGAGATTTTTACCAAGAAGACGACCATCTAATTGAGAATGCAATCCCTGCCCTACTTTTTCAAAGATAAGCTCCACCCCTCCAATCAGTCCCTCCCGCTACCTCATCACATCTGGTATTAAAGGCACTTAATCTTTCTTTTTCCCATCCATTACAGGGATCTTCGCAACAACCGCATCTCCATCATCGAGGAAGGGGCGTTTGAAGGAGCAGAAAACCTGTTTGAACTGTAAGCCTTTGTTTTCAGATTGCCCTCGATCTCCCTCTCCCCCCCCCCTTAGCACCAGCTGTTCCCATTTTTGGTTCGGTGTGATTGGTTCCCCCAGGGCTGACAGTAGCAAATAGATTAGTCACTTGTCAGTTGTCCTGGGACACGTTCTGACCCACATCAAAGTGCAGTTACACGTTTTGTATTTGTCATTGTCAACTGACAACATCTAAAGCTGTTTGCACTTCTCTTTTTTTTTTTACCAGTTCTCCACGTTTTCTGATTTGCCACTCAGCATTTCATTCCGAATGTTTACGCCTCATGCCGAATGCATCGACTCTCTGTGTGAATCCAGCTTTGTTTGCCCCACAACCCTCTCTCTGCAGTTTGACCGAGTGAATCCAATGTCTTGAGAAAAAGCTCACATTCAGGAGAAAGAAACATACTTTGGATGTTTTCTCTGAGAAATTTCAGTCACTTCCTTACTGACCGGTTGAAAAGTTTGGTCAGTCTTAAACTCCTCTTCTAACCCCCCCTCAAAAATGCTGCCTCTGAAAGCCAGGACAAACATGTACATGTATGTAGAGATTACCTCATGCCAATGACCGATTAGGCCGCTTTACCACAAAACTGGAGTCGTTGCTGAACAAAAGGTTATCCAGCAAGCAAAATGAGTCTTGCAGCCAGTCTAAAACAGCCTCTGTACGATTTTGTCTGTTGGCTTCGTGGAGACATCTGGCTACAATCTCGGCGGGCAGAATTTCCAGGCAATGTTTTTCTTCTCTGTCGTTTGCGCCGATCCTTTACTATCTGTGTGGAATCAGTGTCCTGGCATAATGACACTTTTATCTGTAAGCTGTGTTTTGTGAACTCAACCATAAAGTGCCAAAGCATGCGTGACGTCTGCCCTTTCTGTGGCCTCCTGTCCTTCCCCCCCCCCGCACATACTTCCCGAAAGCCGCTTGCGCCGCCCCCAGTTGGGTCCTCCACGAAATGCATGCCAAGGCTCTTATCGTCAACTGAAGTACCTCGCCCCTTGAAAATAGTACATACTCTCACCGTCCGACGTTGTGTTACTAGCACTTGTCGCAAAATGAACGCACCAAATGTTACACATGGAAGGTTTGAAGTACCCTTCATCACCAGGTCTTACACACACTCGATAGGGTGGCAATATGTTTTAACGCCGTTTCTCAACCCAATTCACTGACACAGTTTTTATTTATTGGGACGCAAAGAGGGCAAAGGCTTCTTCCCTTTATGAAAAGCAGATCCCAAGCTGTGAAGCAGCGTTAATCGTCACACATTTCTGATCTCCTTCACTTCTGTGGAACAGTGATAAATAGTGAGAAAGATGAACGGTATCGAACTTTTTCTTTTCTCCTGGGGGGGATTCAAGCCCCTAGTACTAAAGACAGATTCGGGGTTGGAGGTTCCCCCCCCTTATTTCCAATCAGCTGCCCTAATCCTAGTCCCTGGCTCTGTGAAATTTCTGCTTGTCCTTCAGCAAGACCCCCACCTCCCAGATTACCCTCCCCCCAACTTGCCTGATCCTTACACCACACCCGTACCCAACCTGCACCCAGGCCACACAGCCCCTATTAAATTGTCAGTCGCTTGCCAAAACTCCTCGCTGAATTTTGAAGTCGCCTCTCCTTCTTTCAGTCTCTGAACGTTGGCAGCCTTGGCCTGCATTTTTGTGCTCAATCTCAATTACACCCAAGCTCTGTCCTAAATTCAGACCCACAGCCATCAACTCCAAGCCCCGCCCCCCCAGCTCATGCCTCCAAACTCCGCCTCTCCCCACTGAGCCCCTTCCAACCAGATCTGTGTCACACATCCTACAGTGCTCGCATGTATTTGTGATTTTTTTTTTGTTTGTTTCCCCTACGTCTTTTTTTTTTCTTTTTTGGCAATGTTGTCGTTATCTCTAGGCTGCTTACTAACAACAAGCTGACCAAAGTCCACGGGCGATTTTTCTCCGGACTTAAAAAACTGAGAACTCTGTAAGTATGGTACCCCGTCTCCACCTCATCCCTCCCCCTCCACTCCATCGGTGTGTGCTGTGAACGTGCATCCTTCACTCATGGGAATCATCCATGCCTGTTTTTTTCTCACTGTTTGCATCGCTTTGCTTGTGTGAATATCTTTGCAGTCAAATCCATTACACTACAGCTACGAGTTTGTGACTTTCTACCCCAAATCCAGGCACCCATTAAATGGTTTGCCACTTGCAACAAGTCTTTTCTTAACGTAGTTAATTTTTTAAACCAAGTGTCATGATCTTACCAGCTTGATGAATGTTTTAGTGGATCAGAGTAAGCATGCACGAGCAACAGAAGGATCCTTCTGTTAAAATGTGATAATTTCACTTTTTTTGCTACTTCTAAGTTTTGGTATTTTTGAAGGCTCAGAATGAAATTCTACTTGGCCTTATTAAACTACCACCAAAAAAAGTCAACTTCACTTTAAAAATGGCTTCTGTTTTGGATGAGCATCATCTTGTATTGGTTGCCACTGGGGAAATTTAATCTTTACCAAATCATTATCGAATGAATTTTCAGGGGGGGGGGAAGTGTGGCAGTAAACGGAAAGGGACAAATGTAGTCATAGGCACGTCAGCGTTTTCGGAGAAAGTTCAGTGCTGGGTGTCATGGAGTTTGGCTTGGTTGCATTGCGTGTGCTTGCGTCTGCAAGAGACGGTTTCATGTACTAACCCCATGGTTAGGAGACTGTATGTACAGGCATGCAGTGAGGTTGGTTTGTTTCGATTAACTTTGATACTGTACCGGTATGATCGATCCATTGAGGGCGACAGACAGGGTTTGACTTTGCGGGTAGGCTATGACTACCTTGACCAGACTGTGCCTGTGTGCTCTGGCCTGGCATCCGTTGAGGCAGTTGTGTTTTTTTTTGTTTTTTTTTCCACAAGTGTCACGTGTCATCCGTGTGATCCTTGTACAGCCGTGTGGCGTGATGTGGCCACGCGGCTCAGAAACCAGTCTTTGATCGGCTGTTTGTGTGAGCCTCACGATTGGTCAACTTGGGTGTTTTTGGTGCAGGGGTTTTGGAAGGTAGCATGGAGGAATAACTCATCAGGTTGGCCATTATCAAATCTAACCTCATGCACAGCGTTGGGATGGGGTCGTTGACATGACTACATCACAAACATGTGCCACCTATTGTCATAATGGTAATTTTCTCCAAAGCAGAAACACTGAGTTTTTGCCTTGGGAAGATTACCAGCATGTAAATGTTAAATTCCAAACCCTGGGTTGATGGATTGGCAAAAAAAACCACTCATCGCTTTTATTCCAAATATGGTAGCTTTTTACATGGTATGGAACTGGTCATGGCTTGCATTCACTGTTGGGGGAAAAAAGAGAAATATACCTTTCCATGATTTTGGTGAAGGACTGGTTTTAGTTCTCATAAATGTTGCATTTTTTGGTGGTTTATTTTCTCAGTGCATTCCCTTTTGCACTCGATAAATTTTGCAGACTAAAACCATTGTAACACTGGATCGCCACCAGATGTAGTGACCTCAAAGTCATGTTTTTTTGCACTTACAAGGGAAACAACAAACAGTATGTAGTTACTAACTCATCTGTGTGAGAAAACATATATATATGAATATTTATACCCTCTGTAATCGATTATCACAATATATGTAATAACTTGACATGTACTGTAGTTCAGGATGAAAAGCTCATTTGTGTATAGCCATGTGTAGATGACCCAGATTGTCTAATAACGGGCTTTGCTAATGCGATGAAGTAGTTATCCTCTCTGCGCACTCGCTGCTGAGGCCGCCATTGATGCTGGTACCCACTCTCTGATGATCAGTCCATTATACACAGTCAAGTATTATAGGTTACCAGGGAAGACACAGGGCCTGGATATGTGCAGGATGGATCTAAACATTAAAAGAAAATGAGTGCGTTCATTGACAAGGTTTTGGAACAGAACTCCATTTGACTTTCAGAAGATCAGCAAAGTGCCGGTTCTGAGGTTGGCACCCAGGCAAAAAGCAGTTTCCAAATGGAATATGCACATTCAGCGACAGACTAAAGCCGTTTCAGCTCTCCAGGGACACTCCAGCGTAGCTTCTTAAGAGCTGGAGATCTAAACGTTGCTTCCCCGCGTCCCATCATTTCTCATCACTCAAGTTAGTCCTGCCCCCATCGCCATAATCTCCGGTAGCGCAACCCAAGGTCAAGTCTCGCTTGCCAGTTCCCCCCCCCCCATTTATCTCTGCCACTCTGCGACCAATACTTCAGAGGCCATCGGACAAAGATGCACCTGTTTGCGCACATCACCCTCTTTCTTCCCCCCTCCCACGTTTCCACTTTGAAAAATATTGTCAATTATCTCTGTAATGGTCTCTCAGTCGTGTCCGCGAGCCCACTGAGGACAGCCTGGCTGCCATGATTTCTTTTTGTGCGAGGATACGAGCAGATTTTCTTTTTTTAGGCCTGAAAGAATGAATTTATAAAGCATCTTGTTCCCTCCTTTATTTTCATAACATCATACAAACAGCACAGAATGTGGTGCACATTTCTAACCGTTGCGTTGGGAGCATCTTGATTCACCTTTTCAGAGATGTTGTGTATGAAACAATGTGTAATCAACGACCTTATCTTTTTCTGCAAGAACCTACTGAGGTGTTAAAAAATCACAACCCCCCCCAAAAAAAATGAGAAAGCTCCTTTCTAACCCCGTGTGGAATTTGGCCGTAGCAGAAAACCAATAGAGATGAGTACTTACAGACGCCCACGTAATGTACTAACAGTGACGGTTTTGTAAACAGTCTTCACGAGATCACATTTATCATACATGTACCAAGAGTGTTACAAATGAGATTTATTGCCTGTTTGCTCGAAAAAGTATCCGAAAAATTGTGAATTCTTGCCTGCTAGTGTGACAAAAACCACTGGCTCCATGCACAAGATCCAATGGCACCCTACAACGCTACGTTTGTGGTAACAGCTTTTATACATGTACTTGTATTGGTTTCTTTTACCTTTTAGGAACCTGAGAAGCAATCGCTTGACGTGCATTGGGAACGAGACCTTTATCGGACTGAGATCGCTCCGTCTGCTGTGAGTTACAAAAAGTGCATAATTTTTTCCTTTTTTGTCAGCTGGGACGGCGTAATCTTTCTCCTTTATCACAAGTTTGAGAAGCAGTGTTACTGTTTGTTTTTCCCATGTCTGCTATTAACGTACCTCCGTCCATCTGACAGCTAGATCACAAGTTGAAGATGGATCTTCCACCCACCAATGACTTATTTTCCAGGAACCAGCAACACTTAAGTGACGTTCTTCCCTTTGGGAGGAATGAAAAAAGCCCAACCAGGATGTATTTCCTGCTTGTCGAGTCTTGTATTTTTCAACTCGTAGTTCATGACAGTCTTTTCCCCTGACCCCCCCACAGAGCACTTTATGACAACGGTATCAGCACCATCACGTCTGGCGCATTTGACTCGCTGAAAGAACTCTCCACTGTGTGAGTACATGTACTTCTTTTTTCTTCCCTCCCCCCCATTGACCACAAATGCAGGCCCGCACCTCAGGGCCGCCCTCAGTTTCAGGGATATGCCGAAACTAAAAGTGTCCCTAAAGATCAAAAAGAGCTGTACTACTGGAAAAAAAATGTTTGTTTCCATTGAATGTATCTTTGTAATGTCTTCATGTACCATTTTTGAGCTTTTGCTGAAGTAAGATGCATCGGTCCTCTTAGAAATAACCGAAACAGTCCAGCTTTCAGAATGAACGGCTGAACGTCTGCCAGCGCAGCAACACCTGCTATGGTCGGCAGGCATTTGCTGTCGCTGCACCTATTCTCTGGCATCGGCTCCCACTGCATATGCAAGACTCTCTCACATTAGCATATTAGACACATTCAAGACTCAACTGAAGACCCACGTATTCAAATTTTGAATAGCGCTTAGAAACACCTGTTTCAAGCGCTTTCTGAATGCAGTTTATTATTTCTATTTAAGCTTTTTCAGAGCCTGTACTAATCTGCTACATTGATTCCTGTACCTTGATAGAAACTTGATGGGCAATCCATTGAACTGTAACTGTCACTTGTCCTGGCTGCCCGAGTGGCTGATCTCCCGGAACATCGTGACGGGCAACCCCATCTGTCAGTCGCCGGACAACCTGAGAGATGTGCCGCTGGAGGCACTGGAGAAGACGGACTTCTCATGCGAAGGTTGGTGCAAAATTCTTGTAGGGGTCACAGGACCTTGAACACTGGAGTTCCATCCATTTCAATTCTTGTCAGTATAAACAACGGTTGTCAATGTCTTCTTTGGACCCCGAACAGCGCATGGTTCCGAGGAAAGTTTGTTCTGTACACAAGCGTTTATGCGACTGCAAAGCGAAGTTTGCCAAGCAGTAGTAGTTTGCCAAGCAGCAGTTAAATTGGCCAAGAACTCAAACTGGCCTCACTCGTGACGTCATCTCACAAACTGTTACATCACAGGTGAGACGTTACAAGTACACGCCTGTGTTTCCGTTCCCACCCGGATTGAGCCGGATGCCCCGTGTGTAGTTCAGTTTTGGTCGTCTCTGTAGCGTCACATTCATCAACACCTGACTGCATCACCGAACGGAACCTGGAATGTTTCCAAATCTTCTGTTGAAATGACTTCATAGTTTGTGGTCTGGAAGGCTTTGAGTTTAAGCTTTAACCTTTTTTTGCTCCCCCTCTCTTCCGTGGGCGTCGACTGCAGAGAATGACCTGAACAGCTGTCTGCCGTCAGTGGCCTGCCCGCGGGAGTGTGCGTGCAGCGGGTCGGTGGTCCGCTGCAGCCGCAAGGAGCTCACCATGCCCCCACGGAACATCCCTCTCACGGCCACCGAGATGTGAGTCAATCACCCCTGGTCCTGTTTTATTTAACTGAACCCGCTAGCTGACTCAGAGAGCTGGGCGGTTGAGTGAGTTATCTGCACTAGTAATCAAGGGATCTCGGATTCAAGTCCCACCCGAGTTAGCTTGTGCACTGTTTCTCTCCCAAGCTTTCGGAAATGACGGGCATGGCTTGCCATAGCAGTGATGCCAGTGGTCAAGCAAAGGCCTGATGTCAGGCTTTGTCACTTAGAATGTCGGACTACTTTAGGTCTCAATAAATCAATCCGTCAAACATCCTCACCAGTATGCTTAGATTTCATAACAAAGATTTGTTAATATGACCGTTTGTCTTACGTTTTGTCTTACGTTTTGTCTTACGTTTTGTCTTACGTTTTGTCTTACGTTTTGTCTTACGTTATGTCTTACGTTTTTGTCATCAGCTACTTGGACTCCAACCAGCTCGTGACCATCCCCGACGGAATGACAAACCTCAAGAGCCTCCACACACTGTAAGAAAAATCAATCCAACATCCCCTCAAGTCTTAGGACCGGGCAAGGGAGCCGTCAAATCCCGCAGTAGGTTTCGAGAAGAAGCTGGGAAGAACTGGCTGTCAAAGAAAAACCCTTACATCGGATTGGCCCATTAGTCTGTCTACCGCCTCATCTAAGTCTGTTTGCTGTAATGGATGCTTCAAGGAAGAAATAAATTGGAATGTAATGGAATGCATACGTGGATCTAGGAGAGTTTCTCCGACAATCAAGTTGTTTCTGCTTGTTTACAATTTTTAAACATCTGGGGCAAAGGGAGATGTTCTCTTTTTGTTAGACTCAATGGAAAGTAATTAGAGTTGAGATCTTTCCCCAAGAACCTTTTCTCTAAAAAAAAAAAATTGCATTCATTGATGTGTTTTTTCTTGTTGAGCAGTTGACTTTCTTTCACCGAACTTGCTTTGGGTAAATGCATTACTTATTCCAGATTTTATTTGGGTTTCCAGGGATTTGAGTACAAACTTGATCACGATGCTGCCTGAGAACGCTTTTGCCAACATGACCAAGCTCTCAACACTGTGAGTACGACAGGGCCGAATTTTGTGAAACTCATCATCAAATCAGTGAGCTCAATTTCACTTAGCTCCTCCAGAGAATTCTTCATTTATAAAACCGGAGTAGAGGAAGGCTTTTAAGGGGTCCGTTGTAAACATGTACGGAAACGATAGTTCTCTTCTAATGTATCCGTCAGTGATAGAGGTTATGCTTTTATTTTCTTACATAGTATCTTGAGCTACAATCGCATAGCCTGCATTCCACCGGGGACGTTCACTGGATTGCGTTCGCTACGTATCCTGTAAGTTTCCCCTCTCCTTGGTGATCGACTGACCCCCAAAATAGTTTCCATATTGACTTCCCTTAACTTTTTTTTTCTGTGCCTCGTTGGCTGGTCCCCTGCCATTGGCAAGCAGTTGCCATGAGGATTTACTGGCTCCCTGTCTTTCCTGCTACCGCTGTTCCTGCTTTCTCTTTGCAGAGTTATTTCATTGGTTGGTTTCCCCGTTTTCCTATTGACTTGCTAATACTTTTGATAGGTATTCATTTTCTTATTAAATTTTGTCGTAGATCACTCCAGGGCAACGACCTTTCTACACTCCCAAATGGCGTGTTCAGTGATCTCCATTCTCTGAGTCACATGTGAGTTTTCTGGAAACAATGTCGCTTCTTTGATTAAACCAGTGTGTGACAATGTCTCAAGTTGAGGTCCAATATTGGTCATTTTAAATTCCACGGGGTCATTCACTTGTTTTAGAAACCGGGCAAGTCGTGTACCTACAGCTATTGGAGTGAAGCCAAATTGGCGAAACACTTGGAATGCAATTTACAGATTGTAGGTATGATTCCAGGCAGCATCTCGATGGTGTTGCTCGCTCTGTCATTGGGCAAAAGCCCCCTGTTAGGGTATGACCTTGAAAATCTGTCTTGCAGTGTTTTCATTAGCTGGCGGTGCAACTCTGCTACAGTTCAAGGTCCAAGGTTCAAATCCAAACAGTGACGTGATGTTGCTGTTTTATTTGCCTACACAGTGCATCGAATAGCACGACTCAAATGTTAGTGGGTGCACTTTTGTTGCAGTGCAGTGGTCTGAGGTACTGATCCACACACTGACACCATTGTCTTTGTTGTTTTGCCCACACAGAGCGCTAGGCAACAACCCGCTGTACTGCGACTGTAACCTGCAGTGGCTGTCGGAGTGGGTCAAGGCAGACGGCTTCAAGGAGCCGGGCATCGCCAAGTGTGCCGACCCCTACGACCTACGCGGCAAGCTCATACTGACCGCCCCCTCCAGGTCCTTCATTTGCACTGGTAAGGACGTGGTTTCTCGTGCCCACAAGAGACCCACTCCAAAAACAAGGATCAGGGTCTCTGTTTCTTAGAATGCATTCTTAATTTTTTGAAACGTGTCATGATTGCTCGAGCCCATTTCCCCTGCATTAAGCAGATGTTTTAAGTTAATGGCACGGTTCTAACACTGGGCAACAGAGCTGGGCCCAATTTCATGATGCTGCTTACCGAAGAATTCCATGCTTACAATCTCCGTTCTGCATTAACCGTGCTAGCAGAAAACCCTTTAAGCACAGAATCCTCAGTTATGGGATGTACGCATGCGCACAAGCCAAAATTCCTCTCCAACCCGTGAAATACGTTCGGTGTAGGTGCAGAATTTTCTGCTTCGGTAAGCGTCGATTTTCCGCCTGCAGTAACCAGCCCCGTGAAATTGGAACCTGATAAGGTCATTCAACAGAACATAAAATAATCGTTCATTTGGCCATACCTGGCACATGTGTGGTACTTCTGGTTCTTAAGATACAATTGAAATATTTTCAATTCAACAAACTTGTAAAAAAACCATTTTTATACCACAAATACATCTTGACAAATATGTAATGTGCATACATGTGAGAGGAATAAATGAAAGATTCTTTCAAAACAGCCCAAAAAATTAAGTTGGTTCATAAATGGTGAAGTTGTACATTAGTAACACAGGAATGCCTTTGTTAACGTCCCTTTCGAGTCCATCACGTTACCCAGTCTCAAGCCAAGTCACAGTCTATTTAAACAAGCTGGGACAAATGCATTCTTTTGTCGTTGTTCACCCTGTCACTCATGACTGGTCCTGTGAAAGGACTTGTGACCAGAGTTGCGAGGGAAGTGGCGAAAGGACTCGTCACGGACTCGACTACGACACTAGACTTGAGACCCAATGATTTTGTGGAGGGGCTGGCGATTGACTTTGACCACAACTCTGCCTCTGTGTAAAAACCCCAACAGAAGAGCCGGACATGAACATCCTGGCCAAGTGCAACCCCTGCCTGTCGGGCCCCTGTCAGAACCAGGGTGCCTGCTCAGTCAGCCTGACGGAGCGCTACACCTGCTCCTGCCCCGAGGGCTTCAAAGGTCGTAACTGCGAGGTGGAGCTGGACGCCTGCGAGGGCATGCCCTGCCTTAACGGGGGCCAGTGCCAGAACCTCAACGGGGGCTTCAGGTAAGACGTCGAAGGGCGGAATTGTTTTTTTTTCGTGGGGGGGGGGTTGTGGAGGGTAGTCGCAGTATTTGTAATGGAGGTTGTCCACCAGGCTAGAAGTTTTTCATGCTTGGCAAATTAAAAAAGCAGTGCAGCTCTAATCACTAAAAGCCACACCAATTTTGCCAATTAAAGCAAAAGTGGTCTCCATGCAGTCACACTTTCAGAAGTTGACAAATAACATTGCTATTGACAGAATCTTCAGCATTTTTCCCAATGGCTTTGCCAGTTGAATTGTCTTGCCTGTATTCTGTGAATAGCGCCCTCTCTCATCCTGAGAAGAATCAACACCTTTAATAAATAGCAGAATGTTGCAACTCTCTCACTGAAAAAAAATCACTAGTCTTAAGGATATAAGAGTCTTAATATCTTTATGTGTGGGACTAAAATGTTTTTTCCCCAAAAAGTTTTGTTTTAGAGGATTTTGATTGATTCATGTCGTGCAAGATCATTTAATAGCCCTTATCTCAAAAAGTGGCTCATCGGGCATCTCTGACCCCTCGTGCTGGCTTGAGTCGCCATTATTTTGTCGGCCAGTTTTACCTCTCGTCAAAGAATTTCCCCTGTCTTCTTTCCATTTCCGGCGTCGCGTTTGAGCAGGTGCGAGTGCATGCCCGGGTTCGAAGGTGACCTCTGTGAGTCCAACATCGACGACTGCAAGCACCACCAGTGCCTGAACGACGGGATCTGCCAGGATGGGATCAACAACTACACGTGTTACTGCAGCCTGGGCTACTCAGGTAAGTCCTCCAATCCCCAGGAAAGCGTGAGAAACAGAAAGCAGAGTTCCAGCGGAGGGTGAGAGCGTTGTCCGGAGTGACAGCTATTGTTTGACAGAGTGTTTGACCTTGCTGCAGTCACTTACATCGCCACTTGTTCTGGCACGAGTGCCATGCATGATTGCTACCAACTGGGCCCAATTCCGAGCAACAAAATATACTTCTTGGCTGATTTGACATGGAAGGCCATAACCAGCCGAGAACCGGGCAAAACAAATACAGAGTGCACAGTAGTAGGGCGGGGAACCAGACCTCATTGCTGTGCAATATGGCACTCGATATCCAGTCTGCAATATGGCACTCGATATCCAGTCTGATAACAGCCTGCGTGATGAGGTCCATGTGACCCCTGCCTTGATGATGATGTCATTCACATGTACAACAGGGCAGATGTCCAGAGTAATGATGGTTAGTGCTCAGAGCGAGTTATTTTCGGAAGTGATGTGAGTACTTCGATGTAAAGAAGAAGCTAGTGAGACTTCTCACGGTCGGACTCTTCAGATGGTTTTTGTTCAATCATTGAATTGATAATTTTTCAGGGACATACTGTGAAGTGGACAAGGACTTGTGTGCCTCCGGAGCCAACCCATGTCAAAATGGTGGAGTCTGTTACGACCTCGGTCGCAGCTACAGGTGAAAGCAGATTTCAGATTAATGCGTTCGGTCGACCTAAATTGAAAGGGACAAAAAAAGTTGAAAATCTCTCCCAAACGGATTTCAGGGGATTGCAACAGCAGTGTTTGGGTAGAGACCGTCCAAGTTATGTATGAGCAGTTTACATGAGTTTGGAAAAGACAGGTCCTGTTAAATTTGACAGAAAATCACAGGGATGTTAGTTGAGAAAGCAGGGTGTGGTTTGTCAGAATTTTTGACCCCAAATTGTTGAATATTAGAGGTCAAATTATTCAGTTTTTGCTACCTTTTATAGAAAGAACCAGGGTAATAATTGATTATTAAAATTCCCCCTAAAAGTGACAGTACTTCATTGCTGGCAGTTTTACCATTCCTCTAAATCTGCTGGACAGTTTGTGGATTTCTCTTCATCTCCAAATTCAATCCTTACTCTTCCATCCCTACTGTGTTGTTATTGATTCCACTGAACCACTTCCAACCTGTAGGTGTGAATGCCCGCCCAGCTACCGCGGGTTGAACTGCACCGAGTCCTACCAGGACTGTCGTAATGAGGGCTGCCAGAATGAGGGTCAGTGTATCCAGGAGATGGACCAGTTTGTCTGCAGGTGCCCGCAAGGTTTCAGCGGCGTCCGGTGCGAGGACGTTCCCATTGTGTTCCCCCAGGCCAGCCCCTGCGACTTCCACGACTGCCAGAACCAGGCGCTGTGCCAAGTGGAGGCCGGCGGTGAGGTGCACTGCCTGTGCCGGCCAGGCTACGTCGGCAAGCGCTGCGAGGTCAGCACCAGCCTGACCTTCTCACAGCAGAGCGCCTTGCTGAAGGTGAACCCGCTGGACATGTCCAGCCCCATCAACTTCACTGTGTCGTTCGCCACGGCACAGGAGAACGGCATCCTGCTGTACCACGGCGGGGCGGGCACCGTGGACCACCTTGCCGTGGAGCTGTTCCGCGGCTACCTGCGGGTCAGCTACATTGCAGGCAACTTCCCCGCCACCACAGTCTTCAGCCAGCACAACCTGAACGACGGGGAATTCCACACGGTGCGAGTGCTGGTGTCCGGTCGCAACATCTCCCTCCAGATTGATGACGAGGAGGTGCAGAGCGCCACCAACGAGGGCCCCAGCACGTACCTGAATGTCAACGCCCCACTGTTCATTGGTGGGGCGCCCTCCAAGAAGAACGCCTACGCTCTCCGACACCGGCATCTCCGCAATGGATCCAGTTTCCAAGGTAATACCTGTTTGTGCATGAGCTCACATTGTTACTGAAGAATTTCTTTACTACAAACAATTCCTTCTGTTCATCTTTACAACACACATTCACTAAAGGTGCTACAATTTAAGAAGACCGCTCATGGACTGGTACCAAGTTCCCCTTCCAAACTCTCCATTTTTCCTCTGCAGGATGAAAGTTTGTCTTGCGGCAGTGAAGTTTCACATTTGCAATACCAGTGAATTTTAAAAGTCACCTAGTCACTGTCTTACGTTGTATTGCACCTTCACTGCACACTTCGTCAGTGTTTTCACGAAGTGACAAAAACCTCAAACTCTTGCCGAACGGATGATCCGAGATAAACGCATTTGAAAATACCAGCCTTTTCAATACACATTTTTGATCACTTTTGTGTTACGGATTGAGGAATTTTTTACAAAGTCATGAAAGGTAAGACTTGGAAAATGCTAATCCATACTTATTTCCAGATATATTGTCTCTTTTTCTTCACTTCTTGAAAACAGAAAACCTGGAGTTGTTTATTTTTTCCTATTGCATGATACACACTTTTGTCACTTCTTGAATGAAATCCACGCTTGAAGAAAATTGTTACATTTCGTTAAACTCCAACACGCGTGCAGGTGTTCATGCACAACATCATTCGCACACATGTGTACACACACAAACTCGTGCAGGGATCGTGTATATTGTCTCTATTTCTACCCTGCAAACGATGAGACTTTTTGTCACTTCGTGAAAACCGAGAAACACAGAGACCAATATTTTTGTTGTTTGTTTATAGTTACTAGGAAAGTTAACAACATTTTGCTTTGAAACTCTGCTAATTTGTTCTTTGGATCAAAGGAAATAAAATGGCAGCAAAAACTCTACATCGAAAAATGTTTGATTTTGCAGGTTTTTGTCACTTTTTTCTCGGTGAAAACACCAACGACTTGTGTGCCTCCTGTTTTGTGCTAAATGTTGATTATGTTCCGTACAAAGAATTTGCAGTTTATATTAACAGACACCTCCCTCCCCCCGCCATCCCAACCCCTCCTTGCCTCTGCTCACTTGACTATAACTTTCTCTCTCTCTCTCTCTTTGTCATTACCTTTGCCAGGGTGCCTGCAGGGCTTCTTCATCAACGACGAGCCGGTCACGCCCATGGAAGGTGAGGTGCTGGGCGTGACGACCGGCTGCCCCGCCCTGGACATGCCGGACCCCTGCCAGACCAACCCCTGCAAGCAGGGCTTCTGCCGCAAGCTGGACTCGGCCCGCTACACCTGCGACTGTCAGGACGGCTGGATGGGGCCAATGTGCGACAGAAGTGAGTTACGATCGCGAAGTCGACAGAATCAATTTTGAAAGTCTCGCTCACTGTCCAGCAGCTGATGTCGCGAATTTCGAAGATAATTGCATATAGACTAAAAAAGTTTATTTGCACAAAACAAGTGCCACGTTGACTGTGTCTTGTTCTTACTTGGTCCACTCAAGGACGAAAACACCAGAGAAGTTTCCAATCAGTATTGGAATCCTCACTGTTTTTCACCCACACGATGTCCATTTTCATCAGGGTGCGAGGCTGAGTGGTACATCAAAGTGAGGAGTTTCTCTTTCCATTGGGAACAAACAAAATTATTGGACAAAATATGGCCCTAAGGACTCAGTTTGTAGGATCAGGTTGCATTCATACTGGCTGAGCAATAGTTTCTTAGAAGCAACGTGAAATTGTAGCTGTAGTTCCCCGGCGTACTCATCCCAAGTGTTTCCTGTGTCTTCCCTCCCTTCTCCTCTCGGTGCACCCAGGGACCACCTGCACTGGCCAGCCGCACCAGGTGACAGTGGAGCGGGGCACCTGCCGCAGCGCCAACCCCATCAAGACCATGGACTGCGGCGGCGAGTGCGGCGGCGCCTCGTGCTGCCGGCCCCAGCGAGTCCGCACCCGCCTAGTCCTGCTCCAGTGCGAGGATGGCACCGAGGTCAAGGAGGAAGTCAAGATTGTCCGGAGCTGCGCCTGCCAGGAGTGTGTGGAGACACCCGAGATAGTTAACGAACCAGAGTAAACCCCCCCTCCCAACGACGTGAGTCGGTCGGGACGTTTATAAATTTGTATAAAATTTCTATACTGAAAAAGTAATAATACTATTAAATAATTGAATGCTATAGCAGAATAACGTAAGCTATTTTTGTAGATATTATTTTCTATGCTGTAGTCCTGAGACTGTTGTCTATTTTGGTCATGTTGGGTATAGCAGCCTTTTGCCCAGTTGGTTCTGTATGGAACCCAGACTTCTTGGAGCAAATCATCATGGGGTCAGTGTAGCAACTACAGCGTGATGCCACTCGTGAAGCCAGCCTTTTTTTTGTAGAAAGGTCACATGCAAATTGTCGAGGGGTTGCAGATGCCGCCTGTATGTTACCCCCAATATTGCTCTTGAAGAGGACAAGCAGACAGGAACAGCACACTTTGCATTGCAAGTGCTGTTGGCTTGCTTCCTGATGTCTATTTTTGTGCGTATCTATAAATATTGCCTTCCATCTCTGAAAGCAAAGTTTTCCCATTCACTGAGGACTTTTTGAATGTAGTTGATGTCACGGTTTTTATATTTATGTTACATAATTTGGGGATTTTTTTTTTTCCTTTCGTGGGATTTTGATGAAAGTGTGTTCTAAAGAACAGTTGTTTGCATCTGTAAACCGTTAAGTGCCAGTATTGTATAATTTGCCTACCTTAATGAGTCCCGTCATATTTTCAGCTGCACCGCACTGAAATGAGAAGTTTGCCAGTTGATATTTCAAGAGGGCGCTGTGTAGCGGTCTCGTGTCATTGCCACCGGTCGGGAGGGATCTGAGCCTCCATTTCAGCGAGGTGTTAAGTTTATAAGTGGGCCAGCGGGTATGTTTACTGGCTGCTTTATCGAGTGTAAGCTGAGGAGTGTGACGATAAATATTGATGCGATACATTCATGTGGAGCGTGGCCCGGGGGCCGGGATTTAAAGGCCGAGTTGCGACCAGGAAGGATGCACATGTGGTTGGACAGGAAATGAAGGAGAGTACAGCTAGAGGAGTGTGATAGGTATAATCTCAACCCCCTCCCCCCCCGGGGATGTGAAATAACTGGCAGGTGTCTCTTTCTTACTTATTTTGGCTACAGCCCCCCCCCCCCACCCCGGGCCTCCTAGATTTTTCTCTGTGTGCTGGTGCTGCAGCTCTTGTCTGAGCATGATTTGATCTGGCCTAGCGGGACATTTTCACAGGTTCAAATCGATCTGTCTGTCTGGATACCGGGATTTAGCCCCGCGAGGAGGAGGCTCCTGTCATGGGGATCTCTTCGGGGAGCGATGTCATCGACTTGACTGAATTTCTCACTTCAGAGGTTTTTTTTTTTCCGTTGCAAATAGTTTGATGGTTCCGGCACCTAGTGAAAGAATTCTTTCCAACTGCCGTGTCGGGTGCACGGGCGCGACGCAAGCAAAAGTCCCAATTCAGACATCCGTGCAGGGGACATGAAGATCTCGCGGACATACCCTGAGCGGCAAAGACCTCAATTTCGACACGTCGCACTCCACATTTTGTGTTGACCACCGCGGCACCAAGAACCCATTCATTTTAAGACAGCTGCATGCTGGTAACACGTTTGTGATCGTACATGTAGTCCCATCTCAGCAGATTGGTCGACCAGAAACCAGAGCCGGGCCCATGGGTTTTTTGTTGATCGGTCTACTGAAGATAAATCCCCAGCGCTGCTTGTAAAATATATGCATAAGCTGCCGCCTTATGCATGAGCTGCCGCCGTTTTAACACTCCAGCAAGTTCAGTGGCACTGTCAGTGCCCAGAGCAAAGAGCGGTCAATGTTATCAGCAGTCTTGACAGTCACCCAAGTATTTCTTATCACCCAAGCCACTTCACACTGTAATTGTCTGTCTTAATCATCTCAACCCTCTTCCATCACCTGGCGTCTTGGTTCCTCCTTTTTTCCCTCCTTCCTACACTCTTCTGTCCTCGCCTGCGTGTCTCCAAGATCCCACAATCCAGAAGTCAAAAGACTTCGTCTGACACATGCTTGCCGGCTTTGCAGTCCCGAATTAATGAAGGCTCATCTTTCCGAGCCGCGAGGGCTAAATTCTACCCCCCCCCCCTTTGTGAAGCAGAAACCGTAATCCGTGCTGACAGTGACAGTGTGGACTGATGCATCAGAGCGGGTTCTGTGCCCGCCAGGAAATTTTGGCTCTTTCTAATGTGTGATCGCGCGGGCTGGAGGGGTGTTTGTTTAGCCCGTGTTGGTTTGTCTTCGTTTCAGACAAACTCACCCGCGGTCATTGTTAAAAGAAAAATCCTCTTAAAGACATAACTGGAAGTCGTTGGTCCTGGTTATTATCTGCCGGCCACAGGAAATCACGGGGAAAATGAAAAAAAAGGGAGCAGGTTCAAAGCATTGACAGTGAGGATGAGTCCGCCATGGAATTATTTCCAGTGACTTTTAAAGCTGAAATGGTCTTTGGCCAAGCACGAAATGGAAGACCCCTCGACAGAACCTTAACTTGAATTTTAGACGGAGCCCCTTTTAATCAGGGGACGAGCGAAAGCCATCTTTTGAAGCGACGTGAAAAAGCAATTTAGAAGTGGAAAGTCCTAGTTGTTTGACACCAGAGGCCGGGTGAAAATGCTGCTTGGGCATTTATAGCACAAAGCACGCTCACCCGCATGTCCTTTTTGCTGGTAATAAAGTTGCAGATATTGAGGTAATTCGTAAATGTATCACACAGTCATGGGCACTCAAGTAGTTACAAGCAACGTGTGTGTATAGTGTGTTATTCTTGTATTGCTGAAATAATTGCATACTTAACGTGTCTTTGTTGTAATTTCTTTCGTACAAATTGATTTACCGGTAGGTTTGCTTATTACACGTACTTACACCTAGCGGAGACTTTTGTAGGAACTCCGAATTTTCAATGTGGTGTTGCAACGCGGTTGTCGAGACTTTGCACTGCAACGTAAATGGGGAGAAAATCTCTTACTGTTCTTCAGTATTAAAGCAATACGAATGCCGCTGGGGAGACGTGAAAGGTTGGTAGTGATTGGCTGGTGCGAGATAGAGGCGGCCGTTTTATTGGCTCTTGTATTTAACTCACGTGCCAGTCTTTACTGGTTGGCATGTTTTTTTTATTGCGCAACTGTCGGAGGATACACTATGTGCTTTCCTATGGGAAAGTAGTTTTATTGCTGGTCTTGACAGGAGACTACGTTTCACGCCTCTTGGAAGTTTCCCCTGTTAAAATTGTGGGACTCCCCCTTCAAAAAATCCTCCAGAGCAACGATTATAACCTTTATTCAAGGCCAGTGTTGTGTTTAAAAAAAACGCTACTGGTTTGAACACGGACAGTTTATATAAAACCGTGGTTGAAATGGCCGTGGATTTAATTGGTTCTCAAAAATGCTGCCATGAAACTCTTTATTTTGCCGCCTGGTTTAACTGAAAATGTTTTATTTTACTGTGGTACCCAGGCACCCATTTGCGTGATGGCGGTATGTCAGACAGGTCCTTAAAATGGCGGTATTTTGGGTTCTTCATTGTATATAATAGCTGCAGACGACATTGTCAACAATTCTTGTTTAGAAGAAACGATAGTCGGAACAGGGTTGCATTTTACAGAGATGGGTTGGATTAACGTAAGTTTCGCACATGCGTTTTAAATGTTCTTGGGACCTGAAAGGTTTCTGGAGTTAGTAACGCATCTTTCTCACTTCTCTGCCGGGATTCGACTCAGAGTGGATTCGATGTCACATGGGTCCGATTGACCCAGTTTTAAATTGACTTGGAAAAGGTCGGTTTTTAAGTAGTATTTTTTAGACTTCAATCGGATGACGACTATACAGATATGAAATATCTTGAGGAAGTAGTTTGCAAGACCGAGACGGGGAAATCATTTTTCATCCAAAATTAACAAGGTTATTGCGCTTTCAATTACAGTTTTCTCTAACAAGCATTTTCGCTGGGATCAAATTGTAAAGGCGTTGTTATTTTGCATAGTAATCTTGCGGTATGATGTTTAGGCATCGGTGTCTTTGGGTTACCTGCCGCAATACTGAGACATGTCACAATAGTGCGCCTCCGCGAGTTTGCAACGCGTTGTCCAATCACAATGTGCGAAATCCGTTGATATCAATGCGCCTTTGGAAAGGATCACCAGATTTGGCGCAATTGCGATCGGCCAACGTGTTTTAAATTCTTGTAGGCACACTATTGTGAATTGCCCTTATTTTGCCGATGACGTCCTAGCGTAATGTGCTGCAGTGGTCGTGCGTTCCCTGTGAAAATCATGCATCCATGCCAGCTTACCATTTAACCTGATTATGTATTGGTATGAATTGTTTGAGTTGTGTAAAGTTCCGGAATAATGTGTAACTCGATTTGGAAACTATTTATATCCGTTTGGGTATGATATTCTTTCTTTGTTAAAGCCGATTGTATATTACCAAACTTCATTAACTATATCGCTCTCGCTTTGTAATTAGAAAAATCCGCCTTTCCCGAACATGCAGTTATTCAATTTTGAGAAATGATAATTGTGGAACTGTAGACAATTATGTAGCCATCAAGGTCGTTCTTACGTAACTATTAAAACTCGATAGCTTAAGTGTCCCCTTGTAGCCTTGATACGCGGTCGGTAGAGATTATTGGACCAGTCCAATATCACCAGAGGGCCAATATTTGACCGGTCCAATATTTCGCTCGCGCTGCTGCAGTGGGCGAATGTAGTAAGAGTGACACACACTCGGCGTCATCCGTTTTTATGATGAAATTCTTTTAAGTTTTGATTGTATTCTATTATCAAAATGTATATATAAATGGTACTGGTCTTGTATAAATGCGGAGGTGATTGGCCTCGTTTGTTGCCAAGCACAAATTGGGCTGCACCGATAAATAAACGAAAGGGGTTAAAAAAAATTGCCACAGTGTCGATTTTTGGGCGGCTCTTAGTTTTCACACCTAGCTGCTTTTACCAAGCGCATCCTTGCGCAGCAGTCTTGTTTTGTGTGTTCTGCACGCCGCTCACCGGTCGGTCATCTTGACTCGAAGCGAAGCGATCCCTGTAAAAAAAATGAAGTTTTTTGTATATGTGTTGGAACAAAGATGATGAATAAGGTGATATCATAGATCATAAACCGTCCTTGCGGGTAAGTTCCAAATTAGGAATTAAAAGCCAATCACCTTTGTTTTTCAAATATGTTGGTTCTTTTTTTTCAAAGTGTGGCTGTGGCTGTGGCTGTGGCTGTGATTGCAGCAGTTTTGTCTGGATCCTTCCCATCTCAGTAGTGTTCACTGGGTTAACAGCAGGATCCAAAATGACCGTCTCGAGAATGAAGACCGTTAAGCCATGGTCTGCTCTCTCCAGACTTCAGGGTCTATTTCTAGCCATTGATGATCCGTCTGCTGCGCCTCGTTTGGTTTGGTTCACCCGCCAGCTTACCCTCCAAAAAGGCGCAACTTCCTCAGCAGTTGTACACAGCCCTTAAAGGGCAGCTGCATTCAATCTGTTGTAATACAGACCTTCAAAATGCGCCTTAGTGTCTCAGTTAACTCTAGTCAATTCAGTCAACTTTTTGTTCCACTATTTTAAAGGGTGTTTTACTTCCTTTTTTTGTTTTTATGGTAATGATATTCCATATTCATGACAAAACTGTGATATCATTCCAGGAAGGAGCCTCAATGTTACACTGGTTTGTATATAACATCCTGCATTTTTCTAGATTTCTGTGTCTTCCCTGGGTGACGGTTACAACAGCGCCCTCTGTTGTCCAGGATAGCATGGCTAATTTTTGGTAGCTTAAAAAAGTGCACTTTTCGTTGCATTTAACCAAATAGGAATATAAAAGAGTCTAAGAAATATTCATTGCAGCCACCAGTATGAAGACCTTTTTCATCGTTCTTGAGTCATGGATATTTGGGGCTTCAGTTTGGGGTCAAGAGCCTTGTGCTTTGTGAATCGTGGTCATGGACTGTGATTCACGTGTGTTAAGGATAGTGAACGGGAATTGCCCGAGTTGATAGGACCGGCTTTTTGAGATAAACTGTCACATGTACACTTAATGCCATCAAACATGGCGAGGCGAAGCGACTGTACTGCCACCGGAAAAATGCACAGGAGCCCGTGAAACCACGTGTCTCGACACTTTTCAAATCAAAGATGTCGTTTTTGTCCGAGCATTGTACCCGTCTTGTCCGTTAACTCGACTCCGAGTTGCTTTCAAGGAGCCCAGGAGATGGAATTGTTGGAGCACTTAAACTAGGTTCGTCGCGAGGGGGTCTGTGGTCATCTGGCAAAAGCACTAATAATTGTCACTTCTTCCCCAAGCAATCCCAGGACTCAATGTCGTTGAACACGTAACACCTTCCTATTTTTTTTTTCTGTCATGATTGTGTCCGTTACGACCGCGCGCGTCTCCGTAGCAGCCGGCGGTATAACAGCATAGCCAACATCGCATGATAGTAAATGTGCAGAAGCCGGAAGACGAGGAATGCTGCAAACCAAAAACTGCGTCGACGGACATAAAAGCAGCAGGCAGAGACATCATCACAACATCGCAGCAACAACTTCAAACGGCAACTGGCGGTTACAAGAACACCACAAAAAACAACATCGCGCGAAGTAAGAAATCAAAAATTAAAAAAAAAAAACCTTACACAAACATGTCCACAAAACCGATCATCGAAACAAGCCCTTTAGATGGAGGGGGGTCCTGGTACATTTAAGACACCTCGCACAATCAACAGAACAGATCCGTAAGACGATTACCTTTCAGTTCCCTCCTGCGCCAGATCGAGCCATTGCCCTGGAATCACCTCCGCGTCTCGCTCCCCGGAGGACCCCGTGTGTCTTCGTCCTCTTCCTTCCCTTTCAGCGTTTCTGCGACGGGATCAATTCCGCAATCAAGAGCGTCTCAGTCGCAATCTTCAGGAAAGCAGCAGCATGGACGGGAGTTGCCCGCAGGCGAAGCAAGCACTGTCCTCCAAGAGCCTGCCGCCCCTCGGCTGGGATGATGAGACGACGGCCTGTAAGCACACACAAGCTAGACGTTAATAGACAAAAGGGGCCAAAAAAATTGCTTGGAGCTGTTGATTTAGTACGTTTGCTCTCCCTTTCTGGAGCAGTATTGGTTTTGCATGTGGCACGGGGACCTCCTGTACAAAACACATTCTAAAGCCAAACAAAATCAACTTGATCGTTACTGCATCTCAGGCTGCAGCCTCGGTCTCGCTCAATGCGCTCTTCAATGTTTCTTTAAGTTTTTACATCGGTCATTTGAGAACATAAAGCCATGTGCTCGAATTCGGCCCAGTCGACGCGCTCTTGCGCCGACTGCCACTCGTCCCTCCGGCCGCGTGACACGGGCGCTGGAAAGATCTAGACGAGGGACATCATGGGAAAATGTGTTCAGCACATTTTTTTGTGGAGGAAGTCGTCACAGCCACGGCTGCACAAAACATGTAGTTATTTGCTGTTTTACTCATGTACCACTACTAGTCTTGTGTGCACGTGTCATGCGCCCGTGGAAGTGTTGACTGGAGTTATTGTTCAAAAATTTAAGTCATACACTTTGCCCTTGCGTAATTGACGTAACCTTAATCTATCCAAGAATCTTGCACTAATAGTTGGCCAATTTTTCTCAGAACAAAATAGTTGGCCAATTTTTCTCAGAACAATTTATCGCTGGTTCAAATAAATTACCCGTTCTATGTTGATAAGACTAGTTTACAATTTTTATCCTTTTTATTTCTACCTTTAAAAAAGATCTTTCTTTCAAGGGAACGACCTTAAGTTTTTTAGGGATAATACCTCGCCTGCTTAAAATGCGATTTCCTTATTATAGATAAAGTGGATTTATATGCAAAGGACTACAGATGTCTGCCATGAACGATGAAATCTAATTTGGTCCTTTCCGTGTGCGCAGAACACAAAACAAATATCGCAAAGACAAGTACCTATGCTCTACAAAATGAAATTGAAAAGTCAAATGCTACTTTTAAGTTTTATTCCGGGATGATTTGCGCATAAACATATGTTTTCTTACCTACTTAACGAGGCATAATAATCACAGTTACCGGCCGATTTTTAATGACATCATTAAGCCAAAAAGCCAACAGTTATTTTGTCCAGGTGATACTCCATTCTTGTCATATGCATCCTCACCATCTGCGCAAATAAAATAGCATATATTTATTAACGTGTCCACCCACATCAACTGCACGTTATTATCAGCACAAGTAAAGATCTACCCCTAAGTTACTCTTCCAATGCAGTCTGTATAACAACACACATGTTGTGGGACGAGTGGCGATCTGAACAATTTGTTTTTAACTTAACTGTCAGTTCGAAATTTTTGTCAGATCAGAAGGTAGGCCTAGTGAAATCTCAAGTCTGTCTGATGTGTAATCAGTAACAGTCACTTCGTGAGACCACCAAAGACGATTTTCTCCTTGCCGACAACTCGGAGCATGAAGTAATGCTGTCTGGAAGAACGTGGAGGATATCAACTTGCATTTAGGACGTTGTAGCGATACGGTGTGGGATAGATTTCACTATCGGTTGGATCAAGTGTAACAGTTTCGAAGAGACAATGGAATGAGTTGAAGAAAACATCTTGCGCGTCGATGAAACCCAATCGGGCCAGCAGTGCGCAAACGTCGATCCCAATTTAAACAGTTGGGAGTATTTCGTGGTCTGATGCCCGCGAGAGCGGCAAGGGCAGATCCAGAACTACTTTTTCGGGGGGGGTTCGAAATGTTATCATGTGAAGTTTTATGTAACCATACCCATCGTTGCCTCTCCCCCGGTCTGCCCTTGTAGCAGAGCGGTAACGTAATTGTCAGGCCTCAGAAATTGCCGCGCCAATGTTTGCATTTCGATTTGGGTGGCATTTTGACTCTGTCATTTTGAGTTTTCATGAGCATTTGCCACTTTACAGTAGGTCCAGATGGTCCAGGCTGACATTCATTTGGGTCGACACCGCTGGCATTTGACTGATCATAATAATGTCAACATTTCCAATTCTCCAACACTTCGGTCAGGCAAGGCCGACCGCGCCGCGCCCAGCGAATAAAGACAGTATACGAGTTCTGTTACATGAACAGCCAAAGTTATCAATATAGCACACATAAATAGCCTGGCGCTCACCGTAGCGGAACAAAACGAGTCGAGAAAAGCTACAATCATTTCGTGTAGTAGGTTGCTCGCGTGTAATAGTTTCGTGAACTCGAGATTCCGTGAGATAGGAAAGTCGCGTTGGAGAATTCATCGACTGAGTTTTTGCTTCGTTTTTTTCCGAGCTGGAAGTTCAAAGAAACTGCCGAGCGCCTTGTACACTACCCCAAGTCGTTACGTACACTCCCTCCCGGAGCGACGGGTTTCCAACTCGTTGGCTTGCGATGGAAGAATCTACGCGCAGCTACAGAGAAGGAGGAGCAGGCTGGGTGGTGGTCTGCGCAGCCTTCCTGTCCCAGTTCATCCTCTACGGTAACCTGAAAGCCGGTGGAGTCCTCATCACCAAGAAGAGCGAGGACTTTGGGACGAGCCTGTGGACCATTGGGCTGATCGATGCGCTCAATAGCGCGATGCAGTGTGCTTTGTGTAAGTCTTTTCATCCGATAACGAGGACATAACTGTCCGCTCAGGGAGCCAGCTGTATGGCCAAAATGTTGTCGAAGCGTCTATCTTTTATTTCGATAGTCCTTGAGGGAAGAACGCAATTGGCAATCACAATTTCAAGTGTCATAAACACCGACATGTTTTAAGAAGAATCCTACCAGTTACAGAACAATTTGAACGAATAAAGTGAGCTTAACATACCGAAGGGATTAAAACCCGCTGTTTCAAAGATGGCATTAATTTGTAGGGTGTATGACACTCAAAGACTGTGATTATCCAATGCGGATTTCTATCCAGTTCTGGCGTCCAAGTTGATCGGTCCGTCGCTCAGGCATAATCCGAGTGGAGTATGCCGCTTCTGTCACCTGTATTGGAAATGGAATTGTTCCCTCACATATTTGGTTTTACTTAGTGTTGCTCATGAGTTGATTGAACACAATGAAGATATACATATGGCCAGTTTTCGACAGCGAATCTCTTTAGAAGTTTGAGCCCCCGTAAAATCGATCTAAAGACATAGCGCATCACAGATGGCAGGTACAATACCGGACACGGTCCGTGCAAGCTGTCGACCCTTTTCAAACGCGCATTTGGTCGACAGATTTCGCGCATCGTGATTGGCCAACGCGTTGCAAACTCTTGGAGGCGCACTATTGTGAATCGCCCGTATTCAACAGTCTGTGGCTATAAGTATAAGCCGGGCACTCGGCGCATGACGTCACCACGTAAAACGCACGCTGCACTGTCGAAAACCCATTTTTTCCCCATTCGTATACTTATTTCTGCCACCAAATACTTTTCGGACATTTCCCTCAACTCCCACTCAATCGTGCTTAAAGAACAAAAACGTGATCCCCTCCGGTCCCCTGAGCACTCACTCCGCGCATGTGAACCACTGTTTCTTTAAGCACTTCCCACTAGTCGTGTTTTTTTATTGTGTCCTCGTAAAAAAAAATACGAAGTTGTTAGATTTTGTGGATAGAGGTGTCCGTCAGTTTGGTGTAAGTACAGCTTATAGGGTCTATATCTTAAATATCTTTTACACATCCACGAGTTGCTCTGCCGTTGTAGGCGACAGTTTAGTACCAATAGCTTTGTGAGTTATTCCGCCTATCGATCTCTCGTGGAGAGTTATCATGGCGGCGGCCGAGTCTAGCGAGCGCACCCATGTGGCATGTGTGGCCGACACCCGCTGCAGTTTGCGTGACGAAACCATGTTCTAGCAGGTCTTGCCACAGAGTTCTGGGGGTCATCACCCCCATGCATTGTGCTTTAAGTGTCGTTACGGATCTAGCTAGCATAGCTGCGATTTATGCCAGAAAATGGGCAGTATCCCCTTATACCAGGCATCCACTTTGGCTCGTTACAAAATCATAGAGGAAGGTTATAGAAAGTGCATGATGCTCTACCCCTTGTTGGCTCATGAGCTCGGACGAGTGGTTCCTGGGTTCAGCATCGACGCTCCCAAACTCCTTGATAAGTCGTTGAATATGGCAGATCGCCGCTTTATGAGCATTGAGAAGGAGGCCAACATTGGTATGGCTTGTGCGGTGTCACAGTCTCGGCTTTTTGAAGCGGCTTCTAAACAAATCTCAAAGTTGAAGGAGTTCCTTCAGAACACTCTTGATCAACAGAGTTTGAATGATCTGAAGGACCTGGTCACGGTTGATTTTGGGTCTGTATATATCTCGGTCTTTGAGTACGGCACAGGAGGCCACCCTTGACATGCTGGACCTTCAAGTGAGGGAAGCTGCCTATGCTAAATTAGCCAGGCGCTACATGTGACTGCAGCAAACCCGCTGAGCTGACAATAATAATTCAAAGCTCAAGAAAAATCTGATTACCGGGGATGGCAGCCTGTATGGGGGCCAAGCAACTTGAAGGAGGTTTAGAAGCGTTCAAACTGGTGGATAGCCAACTCGATGGGACTGACGGTCTTCGTCGTGTTCTCCTTCAGACTACTGCATGGTTTCCGTCCAGCCGGGGCATTCAAGCCCAAGTCCTCCAATGACCTCTGTCGCAAATCCTTCTACATGTATTCCACCCAGAGGGATGGGTCGTTCTATGGTCCTCAAGCGGGGCCGTCGAAGAAGCCTAGGCTTAGTGGTGCAAATTCTCGTTGCTCAAAAACCAGCTTTCAAAAGGGTCGTCAAGAAAGAGCTTGCGTCGACATACCGATAACAAAGGTTTCTCGTCCTCCAAATCACAATAGGATGAGGCGGGCCCTTCCACTTCTTTCAGTCAATCCAGTGGGGGTCGAATTTTATCATGAGTGGATATGTGGCACCTCCTGACAAACGACCGATGGGTTCTCGACATTATAGAGTTTGGTCTCCTTTTGAAGTTCCTAGATATGCCTCAGTTCAACGGCATCAGGAGAATACTAGTAGGCCCAAAGTTCTCAGTAAGAAATTTCGTTTTGTACGACGAGGTCGACGCCTTGTTAAACAATTCAGAATGCCATTGAGCCCGTGCCTCGGACCAGTCGAAAAGAAGGGGCTTTACTCAAAATTCATTCTAGTGGCAAAGAAACCTTCAGGTTTGCGACCGATTTTAAACCTAAAGCCGCTGAATCTTTGCATGAAAAAGCAGAAGTTCAAAATGGAGTCCCTCCGTTCGGAGGCGGTATTCCATAGGATTGGCTTTGTTCAATAGACCTACAAGACGCTTATACGCACATCCCAGTCAGGGAATGCCACAGAAAGTTTTTGCAGTTTGAGGTTGGAGGAAGTGCATTCCGATTTCGGCGTTTTTCCCTTCGGCCTAAAGTCAGCTCCGAGGGTTTTCACCAAAGATCGAGCACCGGTTGTAGCCAAAGCAAGAATGGAAGGCGCCCACGTGTTCCCTTATTTAGACGATTTGATAATACGTGCTCCGAGCAAAGTAGCTCAAGAAGAAGTCAACTCGTTGCTTGTTCAGTTAGAAAGTTGTGGATTCCTAATCAACGGGGGAAGTCCAGTTTGACTCCCAGTCAGAACCTTGTTTATATATAGGTGGTCCCTTCAAGACCAACCTCAATGTAGTTTGTACGTCTTCCTAAGGGGAGGAGGGAAGAACTTTTACAGTTTGTTCAGAAGTTCATGACCCAGCATCAGGCTACAGCAGAGGAGTTTCTGCGATTTCTTGGAATGATGGCAGCCTGTATAGAAGTAGTTTGGCTGTCCAGACTTCACTTGAGACCAATCCAGTTACGTTTACTCCACTTTCGGCGCCCGGCCTCGAGAAATATGGGGGCCTTGATTCCAACCAACGGCCATCTTCTTCAACACCTGCAGTAGTGGAGATAAGAGAGCAATTTAGAAATGGGGGTCCCCTTGGTAAGGGCTCCACCGGATGTGACCCTGACGACCGACTTCAGAGACTATGGTTGGGGAGCCCATGTTGAGAATCAGTTTGTCCAGGGTCTCTGTTTGGAGAAGGAAATTCATTCTTGGCTCATCAACATGAACTCATGATATCATGAGAGCTGCCGGGATTGGAGGAGCTCTGTGAATGCATTCGCGCGTCACTGTGGCTTAGACATATGGAAGAGAGCTGAATGTCAGTTTGGCCAGACGGTTTTACTTCAGCATCAAGATTAAGAAATAACCGGTAAGGACCATATCCATTTGTCCTTTCTGTGTGCGTTTCCTTTCTTTGTGCTTATTTCATGTTTATGTTTGGCGGTAAGAGGTGCAGTCAATATAGGCCTAGAGTGACTGTCTCTGTCCTCAACATTGCTTTGGGAATCTGTCCTAAAAGTATTTGGAGGCAGAAGTAAGTTTAGGAATGCGAAAGAAAGTAAATTTCGATGGAATTATGATTCTTGAAACGAGTATACGTATTTCTGCCTCGCTCCCGCCCTCCACCTTAATCTCTCTCTATATTGACAGTCTAAGGTATGCGTGTGTTACTTTCTCAGGTGCTCAAAGAAGCACTGGTGCACATGCGTGGAGTGAGTGCTGGGGGATCAGGACCGGAGGTGATCACGTGACGAGGCTATTTTGGTTTTTTTTTTTTTTGTCTTTAAGCACGATTAAGGTGGGAGTTGAAGGAAACGTGATAAAAGTATTTGGAGGCAGAAGTAAGTATACTCATTTCAAGAATAAAAATTTCTTCGAAATTTTACATTTATAGAACAGGGATATATGGCAGACCAGACCATGGGCGAACCGCGTACCGAGTACTACGGGACAGACACACTGTAAACAACACTTGGGTGCTGTGCACACGTGCACGTGTGAAGTATTCTGAGCGCGGTGGTGGCTTTAATCCGTTTACATTCGCGACTTCGTTTATCATCAAGAAATTAGTCTTTGAGGAATCGCTGGCACACCTACATTGATGACATTGATGGAGTAAGTAGGTCTACAGTGGATTTTGTTTTATTATTCCACACTTTAATGGAATGAAATTCATAGGCCTAGTTCTTCATTCATGTCATTTGAGAGTGATGAGACCGTGGAGAAACACAGTCATGAGAAAAGAAAAGACATGTAGACTCGGACTAGGATCAACACTAGTCCTGCTTCAAATACTTTTATATATTAGGCCCCCCTAGTATTTTTGTTCATATTTATTTACTCTATTCACAACTTGGTGTGGAGTGGCAGGTCTTTGGCCACAGTGATTATCGCTTTTGCCTAGATCTCCTCTTATGCCCATCCTGTATGTGATGAAAGAATTGGCATGAATTAATATCATGCCTACACTCACTACAGTACATGTACATGGCCCATTTCTATGAAAATGACATGACTAACTTTAGTTGGCCTATATGCCCACTTGGAGTTAGCGCACATCTTGCAAATTGTTTATTCCTCAAGTCGTTGGGTCTGATGTGCTCCCCTGTAAGTGCAGCTGTAATACTAGGCCATTAGAACTTATAAGCCCTACAACTTGCCCAACTTCACTTTGGCATGCTGTGCATAGTTGAATGGTTGAAATGATAATTGATGTGATTGCATCAGGATGATGTAGATCAGTCAATAATAGTCTGAGCA